CATGGCACCTGCTGGGTGCTTAGGAGTCTTACTATCTGGGATTGCTGCTGCTGCTGCAACCCCCTCTCCTCCCCTCCCCTCCCCTCCCCTCCCCTCCCTTCTCTTCTGCTGCAATTCTTGCCCAGGGTCTGAGCACCTGGGCTGCTGTCCCCTCCCAGCAACTCCTGCTGGGGTTGTGGAGCACCTGGGCCCCAGATGGAGCTCAGGACTTCCACCTCTTCAGCTCCTGTCTGGGCTCAGGAACTTGGGCTAGGGGCTGCCCCATCCCACAGATTCACCTATGATTCAGGGCTTCCACCCCATGTGGCTCCTGTTTGGATTCAAGGGGGATACCATCTTCTGGAGTTTTTGCCCCTTCACAGTGTCTCCCTGAGCACCTGGCTTCTATCCTCTTCCTACTCCATGACTCCTGCTGGAACTCAGGGCACCCTAGCTTGAAGCTTTACCTCCCACAGTGCTTGCTGGGTCTTGAGGCTTCCACCCAATGACTTCTGCCAGGACTAAGGCGCCCATTTTTCATGTTGCACAGGCCCCCAGGTCCATGCATTAATCTACCATTCGCCCTGAGTCTGACTAGCAATTAGGAGCTCTCATTTGGGGTCCTCCTAGCAACTGGGGAGATTACACCTACATCCACCTTGGGGAACGTCCTCCAGCTTCTTCAGACATCACAGAAGTGAGTGTGGTAATCCTGCAACCCGTCTGTAATAGTTTAGTGACCCCCTAAAATCCCTTGTTGGGTTTACAGTACCTGTAACAATTTGGTAGGGCCCTACTATATTCTACACAATGAAGAATTGTCGTTGGTCTGTAGGGTAAATCTCCATGTCTGTTGTGGATATTTTATTTACAATTTCAAACATAGACTCAGGGTGCTAAAGAAATAACTTGTCCATTTAAAGTAAAAATTATGTAAATAGTAATTATTAGTATACCACCACCAGAGGGGTCTGTATCTGAGAGTGTGTTTTCTATAAATGTGAGTTGTCGCTTAGGCTGCATTGAGTGTGGTAATTTTTACATGTCTCTTGCCATTAATTCCTTTGAGACTGCAATGGTCACTTTCCTCCTTTCTAATCTCAACAACGGACTCTTAATTTCTCTTCTAAGAAGATTCCAGCTTTTAGGCCACTCACTGCTGGAAGGATAATCGTAGCAATATGGAGTTCAAATTTGGCTGTCTAGAGGGTAGACATGATCTCTCAGTACCACAGTAATGGAAGATAGGGAAGTGTATTCTCTCTGAATGTATGTGGCCACAGCCATTACTGTGAATTAGAGGGTCGTCTTTTCTCTCAGGCTACGGCTACGCTGTAGGCTTCTTCCGGAAAAGCTTATGCAAATGAAGCGTGACGTGGAATATTGCAGCGCTTCATTTGCATAATTAGTTAGTAGCCGCTTTTGCGCAAAAGGCTTTTGCACAAAAAGGAACTGTGTAGACGGCTCTTTATGTGCAAAACCCCCCTCTTGCTCAAGAGCCATTCTTCCTCAAAAGAATGGCTTTTGCGCAAGAGGGGTTTTTTGCACTGCTAATTAATTATGCAGATGAAGTGTGGCAATATTCCATGCCGCACTTCATTTGCATAAGCATTTCTGGAAGAAGGCTATAGTGTAGGGCTACGTCTACACTGGCCCCTTTTCCGGAAGGGGCATGTAAATTTCACTAGTCGTCGTAGGGAAATCCGCGGGGGATTTAAATATCCCCCGCGGCATTTAAATAAAAATGTCCGCCGCTTTTTTCCGGCTTTTAAAAAAGCCGGAAAAGAGCGTCTAGACTGGCCCCGATCCTCCGGAAAAAGTGCCCTTTTCCGGAGGCTTCATATTGAAATAAGTTACATTCCAGGAATTTGGGGTTGTACTACTGCATCCAGATAAAGGGAAGAGCCTAGAATAGGGGATGGCAACCCATGGCACACGTGCCACAAGTGGCATACAAATCTAAGCGCTACTTCAAAGTAGGAATAAGAGCCTCCGGAAAAGGGCGCTTTTTCCGGAGGATCGGGGCCAGTCTAGACGCTCTTTTCCGGCTTTTTTAAAAGCCGGAAAAAAGCGGCGGACATTTTTATTTAAATGCCGCGGGGGATATTTAAATCCCCCGCGGATTTCCCTACGACGACTAGTGAAATTTACATGCCCCTTCCGGAAAAGGGGCCAGTGTAGACGTAGCCTAGCTGTAGCCTCAGAGACAGAACGTGACGGCATTAGTACTGATAGCTAACATCGATATAGAATGGCTAATTCATTCTTAATGTCTGTGACTGTGTGAAAACCCTGTGCATTTACCTTGACAGATCATTGAATGTATGAAAAAAGGCATCAGCCATTAAAAACAAACTGTGTACTTCTTTACAAGTGCTAAGGTTTCTACCTCTGAAGTAGATACATTCAATTTTAAATAAGTTTGAATCCTTTTCATCGAGTTTAGACAAACGAGAATGCAAAATCTTTTGAGCAAGTGCTGGACAGTGACCACCAGATAATAGTTACTACTACTTCAAGTGGTTGCTCATGTGCATTCCAATATAGGTGTGTGCACGCAGCATGCATGTGCCGTCGGAAGTTTTTCTCTCAGCAGTAGCCTTAAGGCCTGCAGGGAGTCCCCTGGAGTGGCGCCGGTATACCGGCCCATATATACTCCTGCTGGCCCTCTCACTCACTCAGTTTCTTTTTACCGTTGTGATGGTCATTGGAACAACCCTCAGCTCCTCAACGTGATCGTTGTCTTCATTGTTCTTCTTCTGTCTTCAGCTAAGTGTCTG